GGAACTCCCATTTCTCAAAATTTAAGTAGATTAGCACCAGGTATTTACAGGATTCATGACTTAAATATCTGTTGCAGGTGGTTGCTCAGAGAAGTACCGTCTTTAAAACAACTATGCATAAAGGGGAAGAGGTGGGAGCAGAGGGAGAAGTAGATGAAACTGTGGAAGAAGGATTTCATCAGCCACAGGTATCTTGGTTTAGTTAACAAGGTTATTTAGGTTGAAAAGACACACCTGTTGGAGTGCGGGTGATCCTTTATATTATTTGTTTCCTCAGTAATTTAATGAAAGCATGAAGCTGTGTTATTAATACCAGTATAAAAAAAAAACTTATTCCTTTGGTTTTAAAGATTAAAGATCGGGAGATACTTTTTTAAAATTAAACTCTCTTCCCGATATGATTTCACACTTGCTTATGGTAAAGTTTGTCTTAAGCAGGTACACCTAAATTTACCCAGTTTTGAGAACTTATATATCTCATTTTCTGTGATAGAGAAAATGAGACTTCAAGACATTATCAGAAAATGTTTCTTGCATGCTGAAGAAATGCAAGTGAAGGCAGTGGGAAGGTGTAAACTTGAACTGACAATATAAAATGTTTCAAAATATAGGGGAAAATACTGAGATAGAATACACTTGCTTGTTAACATTCAGAGTTGTAATCATTACCTTCCTGTTTTGAGTAGCTCTTAATAAAAAGAAAGTAACTTTTAAAAACCTGAGTTCCTGTAATGTGATGTTCAAGTTTGCTACCTTGCCTAAAACTTTGCTACATTTCAGGTAGTGTATGTCTTAGTTAGAAAAAATAATATGGAACAGTACTTAAGTGTGCATATGTAAACAGACAGGAAATGCAAAGAGTTGACTGTGTTGGAAATGGTATTTTTTGACAACTGTGGATTCTGGTATGTAACTGAATCCTAAGTGTGGTGTTTAATATAGTCAGGTCTTTATGGCAGTTATGCAAAAGTACTGAAGTGCATCCAGCTGCTTTCCTGGTGTCTGGGATTGTGTAGTTCTGATGAAGTGTGTCTTCACAGCTTTACTTACAAAAATGCTACAGAGAGATTAGCTTTCTTTTGATAAAAATCTCAATGTATTTGTATATGCTCCCTACAGTATTTGCCACTCAGTGATGCTTTTTGCCTTGAGATTCAAATACAACCGTTTACTTAAGTCTTCATTACCTCTCATAAGAAAGGATATTTAGGATTCTTTTATTTAACAGGGGAGAACAGTGTACAGCTTTCCATGCTGCCTCTTGCTTAGACCATGCCAGGCTAATTATTTCCTATATTAAAAAATGTACAGTTCATTATTATGAGTTGCTAAATCTTACTGGTGGATTTTTTCAAGGAAGATTCTTTCTATTAACAGGCACAGCTGAGAACACCTGCCAGAAACTGTCTGGTGATGTGAACATCAGCCAGCCAGGTTCCTCAAGTCATGGTAATTCTTGTCTACAGAAGAGTCCCTTCTCAGAAGCACAACATATTTTTGTATTTTCTGTCTGTGAATTTTTATCTGCGAGTCTGGCCTTAATTTCCTTTGCCACTGAAAAGGAAGTTTTGTAAAAGAAGTATCTAACCTTCTCGCAGGATTCCTGACTGTGAAGAAAAATTGTCCGTGTCATGCAGATCTATATGCTAGTCTTCTTCTATTGAAACCTTGCTGGAATAGAAATATTCCGCTGGTTTTTGGGGATTAATTTTTCTTATACCATTCTAGACTAGCTATTTGCTGTTGGCCTCTTTGTATCTAGGTGCTGTTTAGGAGGGCATTTTCAATACTGTGAACTCTTTGGTACTGGAGACTTTTTTCCCCTATAGTGCAATCAAGGCTATAAAACTTTTTATAGAACAGAAGAGATTTCTTAAATAAAGAATCTGAAAAAATCCCAAACAACAAAACCAAATTAAAACCCATATACAAAAAGAAGGTAGTCCAGCTGTTCATGTGAACACTTAATTTATATTTCTTACTCCAGAGAGGTTCACGTTAAATTTCTTACTTTTAAGACAGTGTAACCAGCTTAAATTTCCTTATACAATTTGGTCAGAAATAGAAGGCTGTTTTAATATGGATGGTTTTGCTTGTTGACAATTTGTGGGGAAAAAACAAGTCTTCTAGGGGTCTAGTCTAAATTTGTATGGAAAAAAAAATGTAATTTTGTCAATGTGAAAACTTTTCCTGACCTTTCTGCATTAATATGTCTGAAAAATCTTGTAATAAAATATTCCTGTTCAACATACTATCAAGCAAATCTTTTGGAATTTGTTTCTTCCTAGAACTGAGCTAAAAGTTGAATGGGTGTTGAATACTTGGAACTGATAGGCTGTGAAGCTGGAAAAACATCCATGTAAATGGAATGGTGGTAATTGACTTTTAAAGATTTCTAGAATGATGCATAGTATAACTTCACATTTGGAAAATTAATCCTTTAGAGCTTTATTCAAACTCTGTTGTATAACTGTTCCTGCATAATCTTTGCTCATATGTTAATACTTATTGGACTAGCTTTTACAACATGGTACAAGTACCAGAGTGAGCAGCTGAACCATGACACAACACAGATTTACAAACACTGTAAATAGTTATCTTCAACTTAGGCAGCAGTATTTTTGAATGCATGGCCAGAATTTGAGAAGTTGGTTGGAGCTTTTTTCCTAGCATTAGTTTCATGACAAATTTCAGACATAACCTGTCATTCATATTAAGTTCTATTTTCCAGTGAACTATGTGTTGGCATTTCAACATTGTGCCAACAGAAGGTAAGGGGGGAGGGAGATGGCCAGGGGTACAGATGGATGAGGATTAGGGGGATAGCTTTTGTGACAGTAACATGCTCTTAAACAGCTGCATTAAACTACAAGGTAATATTTGATTTAATTTCCGGTTGATATTTGTGTGCTTACACAGTATAAATTATTCCATAGCATTCTGAATACTCCTCCACTTGTTTTATGATTAATTGCTTTCTAGTCATTGTAGCCTCATATCTATAGCCATATACCATATAAATGAAAATGTATATTGAAGGAAATGGTTAATTCCATTCCTTGTTTCTTGTTTTCAAAACTAATAACACAGACTAGCAATGTATTCCAATAAATACTTCATTTGGGTAGTTACGACTATTGGGAAGGCAATTCTTATTTCATAGCAGGAATCTGCCAGTATAATCAAGCATTTTTGGTTATAGCTTTTGTACAGCCTGTTTTTTCACCAGGATGATGGACAGTTCTGTAACTTAACTGAATGTGTAGTGAGGAGCTGCTACTTTGAACCTGATTTTCTGAATAAAGAGCTTTTACATGAGTCTTGTGAATATTCTGGTAAATCAGCACTCTTGTGATGAATCACAGTGGGACAAATGTTGATTTTAGAGACAATATTTGTTGTTGTAGTTCTTTAAACTAGCATAGACCCTTCTAGAGTGGGTATGCATGTGTTTAATCTTTAGAGTGAAACATCCTGCCACCAGGAGGAGATCTCACTATTTGAATATTAAAAAAAATAAACAGCAAACCTTCAAATTTATTCCAGTTCCCTGTGAGTTCCATAATTTTGAAAGTTTCTGCTTTATTGAACAAAACAGCTTCTATTCTGCCTCTTCCCCATCTTCCCACACTGCAGTCCAAAGAGCATTTTGGTTACTGTGAGGTACAGTGGACCTTTCATTGCTGTACTGAGAAACACCAGCCTCACGCTTGTGGAGAGGTATGCACTGCACCACTGTATGCAGCAAATGCAAATTTTTATGGTACTGGGTTTTTGTCTCCTCTGTAACACAATGTCTGCAAACTCTTACTTCTGTTAGTCAAAATACACCACCTCAGCTGTTGTGGTCACTGCCATAATCTACACTAGTCTGGGTTGAGAGAAGGCATGCTGGATTTGCTAAAGGTATCTGGCCACTGAAAAGTTAACTAATTGGTTATGTGTTCATACTTTCTGGAGGCTGTTAGCTAATGTTTTCTTCTCTGGTTCATTACCTGAGTTAGTTCTGCAGATGTCTCCACCTTGAGATTAAAATTTTGGTTGCTATTTTTACTACTACAGTAATAGGTAAAGACTATTTTTAGGTACATTCAGTCCTTTCTGGAGTTGACAGGAGGTATGGATTATCATTATTTGATACTGATGTCATAGACAATTGATGTGATAGAACTTATCATTCTGGCAGGTGAAAGTTTTTCAGTAACCTACTGCTTGCAAATAGAAAAACACTTTACCAGAGATGTATCTACTCAAATACATTTATTCCTGTGAAAACCAGAGAAAAAAAATATCTGAAAACAGGTTGTTTGACTTCACAGCACTAGTACTGTAAGATTAAACTCTTGAGCCAAGATACACATTCCTGTCATCTGGTCCCATTTCTAAAGATACAGCGAAAGCAGCAAACCTCAAAACCGTATTCTTTGCTTATAGTGGATAAGTTCATTAATAAGCCTCTGTGGAATCAACTGTAGCCCTATGGCACAAAATATTTTACATAGTACAGTCAGTTGAAGCTTTATCCTACAACTTACCTTATGCCTCAGACTTGTTGATCCCTACTGTATATACCTATACCATATTTGCCTGAGGAGACAGCAAAACAGAATGAAAAAACATAATGAAAAAGTAAATAATATAAATACCTTTTCTGTTCAATTATGCTAATTATTCATTTCTCTGCTTCTGTAAAAGCAATTTTAAATACTAGTCTTCAATTTTCAGAAAAATTGTCTTGTCAGTGTATCATTTTTCCAGTAAGTTGACACAGTTTCTGGAGTGAAAAGGGTGTTTAAGGGGGAAACTCCCAAGTCTGTGAAATGTTGCCTTTTATATTTTATGCTGCACTGTAAGCGGTATAGGTACTTACAGTAGGAGAAAAAAAAAAAAGACTTGCTTTTGCAGAAATGGCTAGATGGTATTTTTCTCCAGGCAGAGAAACTTGTTGATGGGGAATAAAAGCTTTTAAAACTTTTGTCCCAAACAGGACAACCAGTACTAAATAGTGATTTTTGTAAAGGGAATGGAGGTTATGCATGATGGATGTGAAAGCTTGGTTAGCTTTTCTTGGTATATGATAGTTAACCTCATGGGAACACTGGGACACTTAAATATTTATGATATTCAACTAGGTCCATCATAGGATTATGGCAAAAGTTAACTATTTTATCTCAGGTTTTGCTTACTGTGCCTTTGTTGCCCTGAGCCCTCTGTTGCTCTCCTCTGGTTTCCTTTTATGGGTATGCATAAGTATAGGGCTTGTGCTCTGTGTCATTAACCCTGAAGGAATAAAAGTTGTATTTGGTAGTATCAATAAAGGCACATTTCAGCTTAAGATGATTATTTGGTAGGATTTTCCTACAGTTAACTCTTGGATGTGACTTTTCCTAGCGGGTATGACTTGCATTTTATGAGCAGGAAATATTGGCAAACAAGTCCAACCTTCGTAATGTAATTCTTGAAATAGAATTGAGATTGGTTTTCTCTGCAACTGTATTTTGTTTCTGAAGTTGGTGGGTTTTGTTGTGTGTGATGGGATGTTGTAGATAGAATGTCAACATTGATTCTGTATTTTAAATAACTTGATTGGGCAAGTATTTTGTGCACTTGTGACAGAGAGGAAGAAGAATCAGTTCTATACCCTTCAACATGAAAGGGGGGAAAAAACATTTTGTAGCATTGCCACAATTAAGTGTAAGAGGCTGTCAATAAAAAATTTAAGAACTGAAGGCAGTGACAAGTATTAGTGAACCTGGCAGCTGTTTAAGACAAAATTCTTGCTTTCCTGAAAAAGCTTTATGTGGAAATTCTAAAATATGGAATAACAGCAACAAATTAGTAAGCAGTGTGGTGTCAACACTAGTTATATACTATACACCCATACTGCAGGCTTTCATGTTTTATGGGCCTGCTAGGTATTTATAAAGCTAGGTGCCTCTGTTGTACATACTGTATTGTCTTACAGTTTTAAAAAATACTTTTGAATACCACAAACCTGTATTTAGCAGTAAATAGGCAATACTGTATTCTGCTTGCAAGGAAAATGTTTTAATTAGCCAGCTGTATATTAAATGGAACTTGGTTTCACAAACAGTAACAGAGAGCTTTATTATTAATAGTTTGTTTGGTTGATTTTTAACTTAGATTAATTTGAAAGAGAGAGCTTTTTAATATTCTTTTAGTGCATGTCTCTCCCAGTAGCTTTTCATGTATTCTTCTGATGGTATCCACCCATCTAAAGCCAGCTGCAAATATTGGCCCCCTTTGCCTGTATCTACTGAGTTGTCACATTGCCCTGTGCAACTCCCTGCTGTGAAACTGATGCAAAGCTGTTTTTAATAAAGAGAAGCAAATGAGTTTGAAGTCCTAGTCTGGCAGAACTATACAGTTGAGTAAAGGTGGGGAAAAAAACAACCAACCAAAACAAGTATCTGAATTATCTTTCATCCTACTTGTGCCTTGACTTCCTTCCTGTTGAACAGGTGGCCACTGTAGTTCTAGATCTTCAATTACATCCTTCCTCATCAATTTCTTCTATTCACTGGATGTGCTTGCCCTCCTTTTACCAAAGTGATTTACACTGCTGCTTCCTATTTCATTCTGCTCACTACACTAGGAAGTAAGGAGTTGCCTAGCTTCCTCCTGTTATATCTTGTACTTTTTCAGCATCAATTTTTCAAATACTACTGCATAATCTTTGTCTTGTTTGTTGTTGTATGTAATGTGGCAGACTAGTCTTGCAGGGAGAAGTTTATGTAGAATTAAAACATCCTCACTCTGCATTGCATTCATCACAAATACTGAAATGTGGATGCTATGTGGGTTTAGTTCTGTACACTTAGGATGGCAAACCCTACCATCAAGCAAGCAGGATGTGAAAGGAATAAGGCTCTATTACCTCTGCAGCTTCTTAGAAGGCTTTTCGGGTCACCTAAGTTGCTATTGCTTTTCTCACTTGCAGCTCAAAATACTGATTTGAGTACAGCTCCTACGTAATTTCTTACATGGTGAAGAAATGTAAACGGTAAGGCCAACTACATGAGAAGAAAGCATAATGTTGCTGAGAAGGAAACTGAGGGACATTATTAAAAACAAAACTAAACAAAAAAACATCCCTCATCTTTAATTAGTTAATTCTAATTTTTGCTTAGCTGAGGACTCTAAGGATAGCATAACAAAGACGTCGTACTGCCAGGAGCTTTGCTAGCTCTAGCTACTGCTGCAGTTAACGTTGTGGGTTTTTTCTATTCAGATAGATATTAGTATTGCTGTTAAGTATTTGCTCTATTGATGCAATTTAAATATTGTTAATGGAAATTTGGACTTTGTGTGGCAACAACAGCCTGAACTAGTGGAAGGAAAAGCAATACTCATCAGGAGGAGCCTTCTGTCTGCAAGTCTTCACTTGATAACAAAAGTGAGAATAAGAATTAATACCATCCACTTCCCTGTTCTTGTGTTTTAGGAAAAACAAGGAAGAATATGAAGTATGCTTTTTTTTTTTCCATGGGTTTAATGCAAAAGGGTAAGTGTGTGACTGGATGTTTCCTGGCATTTTTTTTTTCCCTCAAGAAAATGCATAGGAGACTATTGCTACTGACTTCAACAGTCAGTTTTGCTGTACTGGTGCATAAACTAGAGAAACTGTAGTAGTAATGTATTTGCTAAACTGGACCAGACTTGCTGGCTGCTTCAGTAGGTCTTCAGATTAAATAAGCTGTCTTTAAACATAAAATGAAATCTGAAATGACAGATGAGCTGGGTCAAGTCACTATGCTTAGCTGTGTGTATACCTTGCATCTTGATTTGAATAACTGTTTTCCTTAGAACAAGCCCATGAATAGTACTTAAGAATAACACTTATTTCTGGCGTATCTCCCAAAGAAGTAAAAGTAGTTACAATGCTGAAGAAAGCTTATCTGAAGCAAATGTGTAGGCATTAAAACACTGTCTGACAGCGTCCTGACCCAGCCAAATCTGTTTTATTTCTGCACCCCTGCCTAGCAGGTTTTCTTTTAACCTGGAACTCTCTGCTACATACATGTTCTTTTTTTCTATCCAGTTAGCTGCCATTGTGATGAGAGTTTAAAATAAAAAAAAAAAGCACTACATGTTTTGGCCATCTAAGAGTTTGATATGTCTCTTCACAATCTTGTTTAGTTTTCTCCAGGAAGAGAAGTAGGATCAACCCCTGACCTTATTGTCAGACTAATCAGTACAGATCTGCAGGTTCACTGTTGTGTTACACATCTTGGCTTGCTGGGAAACTAGTTGTATGTCTGAATGAGGCTGTTATTGCTCTATGTAGGTAGCTGAATCTTATATCCCCATTAAATTGACAGTTACAAAGAAGATTGTTAAATAACACAAACACAGTGAGATTGGTCTAAAGACACAATAAAGAAACTAAGAAATTTAGTTTTGTGTACTAAGCTTTTTCTCCCATAGAGCACATGCATCAAATAAGCTCTTGTCTGATGGTAAACACTTGTAATACCTTGAACTATCTGAATTATAAATTACTAGCCTCCTTGCTATGTGTTCCTTTTTATTTTCAGTTCCTGCAGAGTTTTGAAAACAACACATAGCAGCATTCCCATCTACACACTTTTTAAAAAAATTATCTTTTCAAAGGGACTAGATCAGTTTCTAATTCTAGCACATTTGTTAATGAAGTTGTGTGTAGTCCTGTAAAAGAATAAATCTGTGTACGTAAGTGTTTCTTCTGAGAGAGAACTACTGCTGAATTTGGGGCCTAAAGCCAAGTTTCCTTACAGAAATAAGTCTTAGAATCAGGGTTAAATTCAGCTTGGTGTAAATGCAGAGTACATCGGTGAAGTCTGAATGCACACCAGCAGAATATGTAGTTTGGTGCAGAATGTGGTGCCTGATTCATTGCTTTTGAGTGGAAAAAGTATTTTTTTTTCTGAGTGCTAGCACTAGAGTAATATTGATTAGGAAGATTATTGGTATTTGTGTCATGTCTGTCTTCTCTGCACATGCTAAATTTATTACTGAAGAATTTTCCTACTGGAACTTCCCTGCCAAATAGGGAAGAGAAATTTTCTAATCACTTCACAGTGTTTAAATAATATACCATTCTGTAAAACTAATTGCATACAAATTTTAACAATCCAAAATACTGGTACAAGGGACCTTCAAATAAAATCAACGAGGGAATGTCATTGCTGTGCTTTAGGAAAGAAAAAAACAGCCCTGGTTACTGTCCAGCTACCTAAAGAAGTAATACTGTAGGACCAGGAAATTGTAAAAACAAAGTACTTTTAAAACCTGTTTTGCATTTTTAATTATAATAGTTTAACATTTAAACAATAAAAAAGCTTGCATCATATTGTGATGCAAGTAGTAACGCAAGTTTGTAGAATTCCATACAGTATCTGCTAAATACACAAGTTTGGCAGCTTAGCAAATAGATGGTTGCAGCATCCATGATTTGCATTTGGAAGTGATTTAAACCTCTGCAAAGAGTTTGTAAATCAGAATAGCAGACTGCTGGGTTCCGGGCAATGTCTGACCCCAGTAAGTTTGAAGATAATAATTATAGTGCAGGTTGCCTGTGCAGAACTGCTCAAATCAAACAATTGTCTCCTTTGAGTTTCTTTTGAGGGACTCCAAGCCCAGCAGGGACTGCTGGTTGGAGGGGATGTTGGCAGACTTTGGGATTAGCAGTACCACCTGCTGATTGGTCCGACGCCATTCATTGTATAATCTACAGTGATACCTAAAAGATACCTGGGGAGAGAAGAGAGATGCACTGTGTTTAGAGTCACTGCAGTCCTTCAAAGAAGGTGTTTGGTGGGGAGACACCTTTAAGTGGCACAAAAAGCTAATAAGCAGCCTAACTTGTGGGGTGGATAAAACTTGGGTGGGATAAAAATGAGAAAAAAGTGGTGGGCAAAGACAAGACTTACACAGTAGATGGCTTGTTCCCCAAGTTGCCAACAGCAGAGAAGAAAAACAGTCTGTGCCCTAATTTCTGCTGTTGCCTGCCTCATTCCCTTTTTTCATACCATGAAAACTTGACATCCTGCCTCAGTCTTTCTCAGGAACTAGAATTACGGGCAGCCACTAATAATGAGAAGGAGTTTGGGGTATTATGCTTCAAGCTGTTAAACTGACAAATAATACAATTGGTTGGACAGGGAAGGCTTGCAGGTAGCTAAGCTGTGGGCAAACACTGACAGGGTCATGTGCTCTACCTTGTAATGCTTTATCATGGAATGCATCAAATTCAAGATTGCATAGATGCAACAAGGTGAGTGTGAGCCAGCTGCCAATGTGTGTATGTCTCAGTTTAGATTGTCTTTGAATTTTTTAATTGTCATCACACTTGACTTAGTCAGGTGGGTGGAAGATGCTGCTGACTTTGCTGTCAGTGGGTCTGCATGCTGTGCAGGGCTGTACTGCTTGCTTTCCTACCCCTACAGCAATGACAGCTGGCTGCCAGTGAGGTAGGGAAGGATATTAAATAATAGACATGCCTATGAATGTATCCTTCAAACGCCCTTCCTTATTGTAAAAAAGGGTGCTTTTTAGGTAAATAAATTATTTGCTTATAATAGTACTAAATCTATAAAATCCTAGTAGGGACAGAAAGAGAATTTCTGGGGTTTTTTAATCAGATCTTTATACAGCTGTCTGGTGTTACCAAGGGGAAGTTATAGACCTTCTGTTCACTTCACAGTTGCCCAAAGATACCTCTTCCAGCAGATTGATTCCCCACCTTTCAATCTCCTCTGCTCTCCCTGAAGGTAAAGCAGCCTGCATCTTCATTTCTGTGGAAGATCGAACATGAGGAATCTCTTTTTAAAAGGCACTGAAGTATACCTGCAGTATCAGCAGGTATCATGTGGTAGAGGGAGGATGTCCTGGTTTGAGCCAGGATGAAGCCAATTTTCCTGTTACTGATTTTTTTCAGTGAGCTTTCTTTTAACACCAGTGTGTTCTAAGACTGATAATGCTGGAATGTTTTTTTACCTGCTGGGACTCCAAGGTCACACCTTTGCTCTGTCAGCTCACACACTACGGGGAGATCTATGACCCCCAGTAGGAGGCTGAGTTAGACAGACAGCAAACCTGGCCAGAGATATTCCATTCCATATATCTGCATAAGCTCAGAGGAAGGTCAGAGATCACAGAAGACAACTTTCTTCCTGCTTCTTCTTCCCTTCCCTTCCATCCATGGCCGGCATCCGGGGAGGACTCCATCCATCCATCACCACCAACCCCCAGGCTGGAGCTCTCCTGACCCTCATCACTCTGTGCTCTCTCCAGCAGCTCTGGAATTTCTTGGGACTGTTCCCAGCTCAGGAGATGCTGTGGGAGTTGCTGGGGGTGCTGGGGCGAGAGGCTTTTGCACATATCTGAACATATTTGTATATAATTGTATATATTTTCTTATATCATTAGTGTTTACTTAAAGCTGTGTAGTTTAGTTTCCAATCCAGCCGAGTGTGTCTCTTTTTCTCTCTCTCCTTCCCTACGTGGGTGGCAGGGGGAGGAGATCGAGAGCCTTGTTGTCAAACCTGAGTCAAAGGGTGACAGAGGACCAAAAAAAAACATCAAACAAACACCTCCAAAGATGAATGCTAGGCAAAATGCAGTCACTGCTTCAGAGGAGTGAGCTAGGGTTGAGTTTTCAAGTAGCAACACGTGAGCTCTTTGAGGACCTGTTGCATTGTTAAGCCAGGCTCTAACTGCTTGTTTGTTTAAGGCATTTTCACAGGATACCCTGGTTAAGTTTGACAGCTTGTTTACACTGGGTTTTTACCTGGTGGCAGTTTCTAAGTGACATCTGCTACTGAACTTGAGTAGAGCCATGCTTGCTCACCTTAAGCTGCTTTGTTTTGCATCACTGGATGCAAAGCTCTTGAGATGCTGAACAAAGGCCAGATTTACTTTGCCCCTTGTCACACTAAACTCACTTGTTCACTTCTTCAATAGGACAGCAAAGGGGGTGTCTATCTTTCTAACATACTCTGAATTAATTTGGGCTAGCTGTTGTTTAAAACCAGCAGTGATGTTACACTGAAAGCTACAGAGCCAAATCCAGTTGTACTTCAACCTGCTACTTGGTATTACAGGAGTCAGTATCACCTGCATGCAACAGAGAGCAGAGTGTGGCCCTGAATTCTCAGTTTAAATAGCAATCTCCAGTTTGTGTCTGGAACTTTCTTCTTAGGAGTATGAGGCTTTTTGTGTGTGTGTGTATGTACATCAGTTATAGTGATTAAATGCAGAGGAATGGCAACAGCATTTTATTGAGCACTTGGATGGTTGAGTGGGAGGTATGAAATAGCTTTTTGGATGTTAAATATAGCATCTCTCCTGTTCTCTGCTCACTGGGATAACTGTGGTGTGTAAATAATCTATACGCCAGCTTTTGCTTCCAGAGAAAATGAGCTGATTTACTGGAAGCAAAATTAAGTTCTAGTTCTCTAAATTTTCTCAGGACCTAAAGGAGCATTATATCCCATCTTGTGTGTAATTTACACCACAGCACTCAATATATTCCCTTTGCAACCATAGCTAAGCAAGCAGAATAGGAATCTCCTATTTTTGAAAATTAACCACTTGATGTGGTTAGCACTTCCATGTATGGATCTGCTCCTTGCTATACAGTAAGGGGAGAGTGGAGCCTTCCAAGCCAAATGCTGGCTGGGGCTTTCCTGCATGACTGGTGGGTCTCAAGACTTCTGAGCAGAGAGCAGGGTTGTCTTCATGTGTAGTGTGCTCAGAGCCATTTGTAAAGTAGTTGCTTTAAATCTCTACCTTCACAAATCTGGCTTCTGAGAAAATGTATGAAAACTGTGGCTTAACCTGTTGACTTAACCTGCCCATTTACTTAAACCTCCTCAAAAATCTTCCATCCAGTACTAATGCTGCAAGGCCAATCAGGGGACCAAGGCTGTGAAGAAAGCCTGAAAGTCCTTCCCACCATGTCTGCTCTGCCCACTGAATTAATCTGCTTCTAAACAGGAGGGTTATAGTATCCTAAAAAACTTTCTGTCTTTATCAACCTGTACAGGAGCTCCCTGTTAATCCATTCAGGCCTTCTGGTGTGTTTCTTTAGCTTCCTTTTTGTTTGGATTTATTGCTCGAGAGCTTGGAGGAGGTGACCCTTAAATATTAACCAGCTTTTTTGGGCTCCTCCATCCCCAGGCAGGGCACCATGCACTTCAGCTGGTCATCAACACAGCAGGTAACAACCCCTCTGTCTGCCCTGCCTTGCCTTCCTGAAGAGCCTGTAAGCTTCCATTCCAGCACTCCAGTTACAGGAGCCAGCCCTGCCCTGCAGGCACACACATCTGTAACTCCTCTCGGGTGTTCCCCATGCTGAATGCTTTTGTGTAGAGGCATTTAAGTTGGGCTCCTGATTAAGCTGACTTACAGCTGGAGTGGCTGGAATTCCACAGATCCTGAAGGAACTGGTAGATAAAGTTGCTAAGCCACTATCCATTGTATTTGAGAAATAGTGGCAGTCTGGTGAAGTTTCCATTGGCAGGAAAAGGGGAAGCATAACCCACCATTTTGCAAAAGGAAAGGAGGAGCTGGGGAACTACAGGTCAGTCAGTCTCACCTCTATGCCTGGCAGGATTATAGAGCAGATCCTCCTGAAGGCTCTGCTAAGGCACATGGACAATAAGGAGGTGATTTGTGGCAGCAAATAACATGGCTTCACTAAGGGCAAATGGTGCCTGACAATTTGGATGGCCTTCTATGATGGAGATACAGCATTGGTGGACAAGAGGCAAGCAACTGGTGTCATCTACCTGGCAACACTGTCCTGCACAACACCCTTTTTTCTAAATTGGAGAGACCTGGACTTCACAGATGGACTACTCAGTGAATGAAGAATTGGCTGGATGATTGCACTCAAAGAGCTCACCTGAGTGCTCAACAGCTCAATGTCCAAGTGGAGACCAGTGACAAGTGGTGTTCCTCAGGGGTCCACAAAGGGACCAGTGCTGTTTAACACCTTTGTTGGTGACACAGACAGTGGCATTGTGTGCACCTTCAGCAAGTTTGCAGACAACCTCAAGCTGTGTGGTGTAGCTGACATGCTGGAGGGAAAGGAGGCCATCCAGAAGGACCTTGACAGGCTTGAGAGGTGGGCTCATGCCAACCTCATGAAGTTCAACAAGGCCAATTGCAAGGTCCTGAACCTGGCTCAGGGCAATCCCAAGCACAAATTCAGACTGGGCAATGAACGGATTGAGAACAGCACTGAGGAGAAGGACCTGGGAGTGTTGGTTGATGAGCTCAACATGTGCTCAAAAAAAGAAGCTGAAAATGTGCACTTGCAGCCCAGAAAGCCAACTGTGTCCTGAGCTGCATCAAAACAAGCTTGACCAGCAGCAGGTCAAGGTAGCTGATTCTGCTCCTCTGCTCTTGTGAAACCCCACCTGAAGCCAAATGTGTCCAGCTCTGTGGTCCCCAACACAACAAGGTCATGGAACTGTTGGAGCAGTTTCAGAGAAGGGCCATGAAGATGATGAGAGGGCTGGAGCATGTATGAAGTCAGGTTAAGAGACTTGGGACTGTTCAGCCTGGAGAAGAGGTACCAGAGAGACCTTACCTAGAGGAAAGCTAAGGAGGGACTTTTTATAGAGGCATGGAGTGACAGGATGAGCAAGCTGGAAGACGGGAGATTTAGGTTACACATTAGGAAGAAATTCTTTAGTGTGAGGGTGGTGAGACACTGGCACAGGTTGCCCAAGGAAGTTTTGGCTGCCTTCTCCCTGGAAGTGTTCAAGGCCAGGTTAGTTGGGGATTTGAGTAACTTCATCTAGTGGGAGGTGTCCCTGCCCATGGCAGGAGGCTGGAACTAGATAATCTTTAAGGTCCTCCTTTCAAACCCAAACCATTACATGATTATGATTCTAATTACATTTCCACAACTCAGTGGACATTAAAGATACTGTATTGCAATTCAATCAACCAGTGTGTGCATTTAGGTCAAATATCACCATATGCTTCAAGTGCCATTGACACATTTCTCTGTCTGCTTTTGAAGGGCTAAAAGTTATAAAGTGAATGGAGGGAATTTCTGACACAACACAAATGCAACAGATGATGTTAGGGACTACAACTGAGGTGCTGCAGAAGTTTTACTGAGCAAGGTCTCATATATCCATGTGTCAAGGGTAGTTAAATTCTGCTACTTAGCCAGAATACTCTTTCCAACTTCCAACTATTTTGGTGCTTGTGAATTACATATATTAGGTAAATTGGACAGCATTTGGGTTTCTAAGACAGTCACACACAAAGGAAATTGGAACAAACTTTGCTTGAGTACCTGACAGACATATCTACACACAGTGCAGCAGGAAATGCAAAGGCCACCTCACTGCTTGAGTCAGCATCCATCCTGTCAAAGGGGAGAGCTGCTCCTCCACAGAAAATCAAAGCAGGAACAATGCAGAGAGAAACTCTGCGCCTTCCCTACTGTTGTGCTAAAATTAGCTTGCAGTCCTCTGTGGATGAGAAAGGGTTTCCCTGCTACGAATGAAATAAATGAAAGTAACTTTTACAGCTTTTTTGGAGCTCGTTGTTGGGTAGGGTGGGTTTTCTGTGTTTCCCCTGCTTCCCCCTTTTCCACGCTTACTCTGGGCTCAGCATAGCGATTTCTTGTTGTGGTCCAGCACTCTTACTGCAGTTCTTTAAGTGACAGCGCCCCAGCAGCTTACACTGATGAAAAGCTGCTGAAAAGGGGCAGCCATGGGGCATGTGGCCATACCCACTGAAGAGGAGAGCTAGGTGCTGGCCCTGTGGGATTGGTGACCATGCCAGCACCACAGGCAAGGTGGTCTTGCCCCCACTCAGAGCAACACAGTCTCAGATGAGCTTTTCCTATCACAGCAGCACAGCCCTGCACCACTACCCAAGCATTACCCTTTTGGTGTGAATGTTCCCTGTCTGCATCCACTGTTCTCTTCTCCTTCTACCATCAAAAGTTGCTAGTGGTATGAAACATGAAACTCAGCAGTAACCTCGGGTTTTCAGTGAACTGCTTGACCATGGCTTGACAGACACTTATTTTGGCAGCTATCCTCTGGGTTCCCTTCATTTCTGTTGGGCCAACTGTTTGTTAGTGTGCTGGGGCCAGGAACTCATCTCACTTTATTAACGTGGCACAAAACAAGTAGCTTTGAGGATGGATTGCCACACAAATGACAGCACACCTGGGTGCAGGATGGGAAAAAAGAAGCTATTTAATCTACACTGCAAAAGCAGCTACATTTCTACAGACATGGGTGTAAGGTGTTCTGCCATGGGTTTCCCACAGCACCAGAAGCATAAGGCATGGGGAAAGCAAAAGCATGGGATGCACCCACATCCAAGGCTTTTGCCTTTAAAATCAGCTGGATGTTGAATAAAATCTGTGGAAGCTAGGTTGTTCACCTAAAGTTTTATTTGTGCGCTGTGCCTTCACCTTTTGCACATTGTGTTCAATGAAACTCTCTCCTGAAGCATGAGCCTTGACCTCTTCCACATTACTTCCTTGTCTCCCTCTTGTCATGCCCCTCTGGTGTTTGGGATTTGGGAATTACTGACCCCAAATGCAAATGGTCTTTCTGGTTTTCCAGAGAACTTGAATGGTGTGGAACCCAGAGGTTTCCTGCAGATGTGACTTAGATTTACCAGCACAGAAGGTAAAAATAAGCAATCCTCTGTACAGGGCTCCACCTCCTCTGCCACACTCTGTGTAATTAATTTTCTGATTTGTTCTTTCCCTTATTCTTGTAAGGTGAAAATAAAACAAATACTTACTAGAGTCCAGAAGAGGTAAATAGTGAAGAGTGCGACCGTGAGTGCAATGAGGCCAACAGCTTCTAGCCTACTACTAAAGTGCAGATGGTCCACTGCTCCTCGTAGACACAACCAGCCAGAGATGGTTGCCAGTGGAGTGATAAACAAGAAGCACACCATGTCTCCAAAGAGAGTCCGTTTCTCGTGCTGGGGGCCTGGGTTCCTCAGCCACTGCAGGCAAAACGCAGACAAAGCAAGTGTCAGCACCAGGAGGACGTTTTACCCGAGATGAGTCGCTGGATGGCAAAGCCCAGCCCTTCCCCTTTGAGGAGGGAACATGGACCACAGGCAGTACGTGCCTTTGGGTGTCTTAGGGACATCCCACCTGAACTCCTCCCCATCACTGCCTGCTGATGTTGCCTCAAGAAGGGGAAGGGTTTCGAATAGCGCAGCCCCTGGCGTTTGGCTGCCAAACTGTCTGAGAAACTAATTCCTAAGTGTGGAAAGAATCACACATTCTCCTGACAACTTGAGAGTGCACAAAATGTTTGTTAATATTCTGGATGCTATTTTAAGGTTTTTTTGATTGGTTTTGGTTTTTACATTCTATTTTTAATACTGGCAAAACCATTTTCAATGTGCTTTCAGGTGTCTCCTTGCAAGCACAACTGAATGCACACCAGGTTACCTTTACTAAGAGGAGATTAACCTTGCAAAACAGAGTGCCTGAAAGTAAACTGCTGAACTGAAGGTTGACTGAACAGCTATTGCGCCTGCACAACCATGAACAGGATTTTAGATGGCAGAGGTGAAAGAAGTTCAGCACACAACAGTAAATTGAGACCTTTTAATAAAAACACCCTCATCACTTAAGTCAATATTTGAACAGGAAAGACTACCATAGCTTGCAATTTTGCCAACGTAAGCAACAGGATTTGGTCAAAACCACTCTGCAGCATCCTTTTATTTTGTTGCTCTTTGAGCAGGTATCCCCCAGATGTGCAGAACCACCAAGGACAGCAAACAGTTCTCACTGGAGCACCTGGGAACCCCCACCAGCCTGCAAGCTGCACCTATTGTCCCAGCCGCCAAGGGCAAATACACCACGTACTGCACAGGACTGTGTCTGCCCCAGAAAGCCCACAAGCTGAGCAGAAAGCCAGGAATGGGCAGCAGAGGTGGAGTGAGCAGCCACAACCCCAGCTGCCTGCATGGCCAGTGCCAGACACAGGCACATGGCCATCGATTCCCAGGTTGGAATGTCCCTCCCAGGCCTCCCGCTCCAAGTGTGGAGGCCATGCAGAAGGCAAAGTCATGCTCTTCCAGGGAGCTATTGCATTTTCTGTCATCATCACAAGAAACCAAAGCCACCAAAGCTCTGTGCCAGTGGATGTGGCTATGGCTCATGCATCCTTACACTGGCCTGCTCATTCCTCCCAGCATGTTATACGTGGCAGTAGAAGTTCTGTTTCTTTAGCTCTTGAAACTAGATTTATAGATGTAACTTCAACTCTTCACCAGTTAATGCCCTTTAACCCAGCCACCTTGGCTTTCTTCTTTTTCCCCATTACAGTGCTACAGGAATGACCAAGAGGAACAGCAAGACTCATGAGTTTTGACAAGAGAGAGCAAGGCTAAGAGCATTGTGCAAGCTAATTAATATTTCTCACCCAGGTGTCCTACCTCTTCATATTTTCAGACCCTGCTTCATCTTTTCTCACTTTGCCCACACCATGAAAACAAATACAGCATTTATCTCTCCATCTTCATATGGTGTAAAAGAACAGTCAAGAAACTGAGTGCAACCAGGAAAGCCACTGATCTGGCAGTAGCAGAAAGGCACAAATCAGTAGACAGGTTTGCCTCAGCCCAACCATCCCTCAGACAGAAATAATAAATTATCTACTTTTTTTAAAGTTTAATTGCAATACAGTAACTCAGAAGCCTATGATTCACTTTCATGTATGACTGAGAAATTGAAGAGAACACAAAAATATGTTCATAAACATATTTTGCAGGACGTAGGATTTTAATTTACTTGAATACTTAAAAAAGTCTAAAGAACCAGGAAGTGCTTTGTAACAGCTGCAAGCAACCTGGTCTAGTGGGAGGTGTCCCTGTCAATGCAAGGGGGCTAAATCTATTTGATCTTTAAGGTCCCTTCCAATCCAAATGATTCTGTAGTTCTATGATACTGTAAGCAAGAAGTTGTAAAGAAAGATGCTAGTTGAAGAGGGAGGCTCAAGCAGTGTCTTAAACTGAATATTATTTACAACACTAGAACACCAGGTATAGTGGGTTGACCCCAGGCAGCTGACCTAAGCACCCACACAGCTGCTTACTCATCCCTCAGCCTCACTGTTAGGATGGAGAGAAGAGGAGGAGACTGCAAACACAGCTTACTTCTCCAGAGCTTGTAAAAATAAGAAGACATACATTTACATTTCAACAGCTTTTTATGTCATCATAACTTTACAGAGAATGATATAAAACCATGTCTGGAAGGCTCACACCATTTTCTTCGAGCTTTCATTCCATTTACTTAGAAACACCCCTGTGGATATGTGCATAGTTCCAGGTCGCTTCTAGTAATGCAACCTTCACCTTGCTTTATTTCCAAAAATCCATTTAGTGCAAAAATGAGAGGAACTGAAAGTGCCTGGTTGTGGAGATTCTGCTCATAAAGGTGACTGTGAAAAGTATTAGCTTGTAAGCTGACCTGCAAGATAATTGCTGAGCACTTGCACTTCTCCTTGATCTCAATGGGAATTGCAGGTGTTCATGACGTTCCTAGAGCAGGCCTAAAAATGCCAGTATCTCCTTATTTCAGTGCCATGAGTGTCCTCCCTGGAACTGGGCAGTGAAGATGCACTGCAGCATTTCAGAGTCTATTTAATGAAGGCTGCATCCTCAAACTGTAGTCTGCTGTGATCCCTTTGACCTTCATGCAGCTCAGCTGGTGCAAGAAATACTGCTGACAGATCTGAGTGAGAAGGAGTAACAGCAAGAATACACACATATGACAAAGCACACACATTAAGGCAAGTGCTGTCATCTCCACCCTAAGACTCTGATGGGACATGGCACTTGAATTAAGACAGCAGTTTACTGTGTGCTGTCCAACTTGACTGAAAGTTTGTGCAGACAAAAATGGTGTGAGTGTGCTTCACAGGCTGACAGCTCCCCACACTCCTTACTTCTTGTCTGACACATATGAACAAAGAATCAATCCCAAGCAATTCAGATATTAGATAAGGCTAGGACAGTCAAACCCCACAGTATTAAATAATAATTAATCCCCCTCCCTGCCATTCTACAGTCTAATCTTAGAAGCTGGATAAATTTCCTTGTGTGGTTCTGAAGAGGAAGTCAAAAGCAATGAATAAGAAACTTCAATGGTTTGTTTGGATTCCAGTCACAGCATGTATTTTTTTTCCTGAAGTACTGCACACCAGTTTCTAAATCTGCTTCTGTTTAGATTCTAGGTTTCAGTCTTTTGTTTTGGAAATAGGCACTGTCAAGTTACTTTATAGCTAAAAAGCCAAGTCAGCAAATCCTTCTGTGAAACTGAAACCCACACAATGCTCCCAACAAAGTGCTGAGCTGATTAATTACTGTGGCAGAACAGTAAGGACTACCCTGCTGGCAAAGAACAAGATGTAAAGCCAGATGCAACTGTCAGATCTGCAATGTGATACTCTGAAATCTGTCCTATTAAAATGTGTCAATGTGCTCAATTATTTCTGCAATAAACGGAGACTCTCACAGCAATAATTTCCATTTTGGGGAAAAAAGAGGGTCATGTTTGAAGCAAAATACTGGCCTGCCTGGCAAAGCACTCTTTTGTCAAGTGTTATCTTAAAGTGAACAGTGATTTCTGTCCCCGAAACACAAGTGGAGTGCCAGAGTAACTGGAGTGCCAGATTAACTGGAGTGCCAGAGTAACAAGACATTAATTCAAGAGCAGGTAAACACAGCACCTGATGCATGACCCAATAGCAGCTCATGACTGACACAAGCAAAGAAACTCTGTCCCTGCAGACTAATATACACCTGATGAAAATCTAACCCCTCAAGTAAATGTGGGGCCCCACCTCACCCCTCACACCGACACATACCAAACGAGGTCTGCTCAGAAGCAAAACACCTTGTAAGCCCTGAGCTGATGGCCATGGCTGCACAACATTCCTCTGCTGCCTCAGCTCTCCGTGCCATCCCTGTGCAAGTGGGTGCTGCTGCCTTGGTGGTGTGGGCCACAGGGACCACAGAGGGCTCCCACTCAGCCCAGCTCACCTAAAACGGGAAGGAGCTGCTGAAATGACCCAAACTGTCTGTTTACTGAGGAATTGGCACTCCTCAAAGAGCAGGTGTAGCAATCAGTCTGGGCAGGGCAACTTCTCCAGCCGCACGTCTCTGCCCAGCAAATGTCTGCTTAAGTCTGCAGGCAATGGGGAAAAGCTCTGCTGAGACAAACTGGTGACCTGTGCTCAGACAGGATGGCTTCACCTGCAAAACAGAAAGGGCATCAAGAGAACAGGAAGCCCACACCATGAAAGAAGACTTTAAAAGTCTGACTCATTTATCCCAGCAAAGTCACACTCTAAATGCATCTTGGGGATGGCCAAAAGGAGGGAGAACTGAAGGAGAGCATCGGTGAAGGAGAAGTGCTGCTTAAGCTAATGGACAATGTTGGCTTAAGAACAAAAGGCCATCAATAAATTTGGGGTCAGAACCAGTAAAAAATTCCCAGCCTTCAGAGAATTCAGTGCTGGGACAGCCTCCTGAGAAGAATGATGTAGGATAACACAGTTTTATGAAGGAGCTTGCTTACATTTTGAAAGGGATTTTTAATGTGCTGCATTTGAGATGAGTAAATACTGTTAAGACACCCAGGGCTCCCTCACTTCACATGCTGACATGAGTAATACACATACAAGGACTTGATGCAGTTACTTCACAAAGTGGAGTTGAATTTAAATTACTATCTGCCCTAGAAAGATTAAATTGAGCTCTGGACCTTCACACACCTTCTTCAACTGAATGCAAGTGCTCAGGAACTTAGCGTGGATTTGTAACAGTCCCTGGGAAACATTTGGTCTATATACCTACTACCTGAAACACCAAAGGGAGCCTAGTGGTTGGAGTCTACTACAGGCTGCCCAATCAAGTGGAGCCACTGATGAAGCCTCCTTACTGCAGCTTGAGGAGACGTCACGATCGCAGGCTCTCAT